TACAGAACCATAGACACTCACCCACAGAAACTCAACCTCAATTAAAGTACCCCCATCCATTCACAACCCTCATACCGATATAGTTTGTCCAAAAGAGTTGATTTTTTGTTTAAAAATCAAGACTACATCATCAACAAGACTTCAATAATCACGACCAACAAAAACCCCATCGATACACAATGTCTCCCCCTACACCAGTCAAGTACCAACCATCATCCCATAGACATCCTCCTATAATAGACACACCAATCAATTGTAGTGATCATAATCAGAGAGTCTGTCCCATACATTAAGAGTACACCCCCACGAGATCAACCCTTGCTCTACTCTACTCCATCCACCCTAGAAAAACCACTACCCCAATCTATCAAACAGAATATATAAATGACCCTAGACATCGACCACCCCTCTCCACACAATGTAAGTCACATGAGTACCACACTTTAGAGGTTCCACTCCCTCTATACTCAAATGAGAGACTATAGTCTCAGACAACCCCTATCAAACACATATATCAATCTATGTATATCATTCTATCAATAGACGACATCACGTAGCTAGAACTAAATTAACTTGTCCTCATACCAACCTACTACCAGACCTCAGTATATATAGATACTCTGATCAAAGCTATTCTCTGCTACACTATAGCCTTACGTTATATCGACCCACCCACATAGATTAATAGTAATAGTCCTATGACCACTATCCAAGATAGACCAAGAGTGATTCTATCTTCCCATCGAAACAAGGACATTAGGATAGAGTGATTCTAAAAAACACGAAATGTCTCCTACCCCTCTCAGATCCAAAGTGGTGAATAAAGAAAACCCCAACTTACTAGACCCTAAGAGACTAGCACTACAAAAAGAAAAATATGTATATCACAGTTATAGTAACACCAAAGTCACATCTCATTCTTTCATCCAAGAATAGTCTACAAAAGATTTCACATGAGATGTCCCTACACCATGATCCAAAATTTCTTATATACAGAGATACATGACTTACAACCATCAATCGCACGTTACACTAAGTATGTCTAAGAAGTTCATCTGTTTAACTATATACAGATTCAGAAAAGATACTATATGTGTAGAGATATAGTATGTATGAAGAGAATGATTTGAAGAGATGATTATACAATGTATCCACAGAAAAAATGAGAATATTCTATTATAAAATCCAAAGCATGCTTCCGATAGCTACTAGGGTGTAGAGCCCACAGTACGACCCTAGCAGAGACAGTCATGTGCCCACAAAGAGAAAGTCTCCATAAGATGTAAACCCTCCCCTAGATTTAATGCATAAAGTCTATGATCTATTCTAGAGAGAGAGAGATCTACAGGCATTACTATTCTCGATCTAAACCCGGCAATTATCAACCTCAGCAACCCACAGATTGTCCCATACTGTGATAAGATCTATATATAACCAGAACGACACCCTCATGCATCGCAGATCTGACATAGAACTATCAGCTTGCCCTCTAGACTAGTACCCTCAAACATGGTTATAGCTCTTCTCGCCTGAGAGTTATTATCAGTACTATAGATAACAGACTTAATGTGATCTAAGAGGTAACAGCCTTTGCATCTCATAGACAGATGTGTGGGTGGCTCATAACGAAGCTAAAATAGTCTCGTTAACAAGTGAAAGATGCCTAACAATGTTGTGCTTTTTTTACATTTTGTGAATTTTCAGTGGAAATAGATAAATGTCACATTGAGTTTAGGTCTTCATTCTGCCGAAGATGGAGTTTTACTTTGGTGTGAAATACAAGTGGATAATTATGGTTAGTTGTTTTAGTGTGTCTGTTGTCCGATGAGACTGATTGTGTATTGTGATATTGCAGGGGAGGAGATGTATGTATTTATATTTGAGACTGCATGTGTCTCCAAGGTTTTGAAAAATGAGATTTGTCTGGTGAATTGAATTTATTTTGTGCTCCACTATTATGTGAATATATCTATTAGAATGTCAAAACGTTCTCGATGTAAGTTGTTTACACTGTTGAGTATAGTATAGAGAGAGTAGATAAGTAAAGAGAAAGACTTATAATAGGTGATATTATGATCTTTTGGGGTATGTGTTTGGAGTTAGTCAAAAATAGTAGCTGCTATTGTCCTCAGTACAAGTACATGTGTAATATAACTATGAGTAAGTAACGGTGACTCGGTCAGTGACGGCTTAGGGTAATGTGGGATTGATATTACATTAACCTCTAAAGTAAATAATCATCATTGTTCACATGTGTGGTCATGTTTGTACTATGTGGAGTGTGTTATCTGTAAGTCTCTTTCATCACTAATGCGCACTCTGTGTAGCCGGTTGTTGCTCTCAGAATTGGCACGCTGTAGTTTCACATGGTGTGAGAGAAAAGAGGAGACTCTCCGCAGAATGCGTGAGAGCAATGTCTTCACTATGTAGGACGTGTATGATTGTAGGTGACCCGGTGAGAGTTTTTATGTTTCACAGCTGTTGTTGTACCATCTAACGGGTCAACGCTTGGTGAGTCACGGACTTTAGACACAAAACGTAGTTTATCTCTCTTTCTGTGCTGTGATGCACAGATCATAATCTAAATCTAGTTTCGGGCAATAGTGATTTCACACAGAGGGAAAACAAGATAAAGTTCAGTTTGTGAGTTTGTAGTATCTGTTGTTGCGTTCGTATATGTGGAACATTTGTTAAGAATCATTGAGTGCGCATGATCCTCATGAGTACTACGATGTGCATATACGGGTAGTCACGTGTTTCGTACGTGCTATGTATATACTGTTAGGGTGTTGTGCTGTCTGGTGGTGATTCTATTTTTGAGACTAATTGTTGGCTCAGTCAGAAGAAACCTGTACTCACTCCCAGACAGATTAACTGAAAACTTTGACTATATTGATACTTATTAGTTTTGACTTTTTACAGTATCTAGATATCCAAGATAAGGCATGTTTTCAGTACATTGGAGTCACTGTGAATTCTTGTTAATGTGAGTTATCACCTTGGTTGCCTGGCAGGTATGTGAGTGTGTCCTGATCCTCAATCTTATAAGTGAGGTGTTTTGAGAGACACCGTAGTATGCCATGTGTGGCTGAGTGTCGAGCCCGTGTGTGTAACTGCAGATGTGAATTTAGACTACTTCTTTCCTGACGAGCGTTTCAGTGTGTCTGTGTTGGATGTGTTTCTCTGTACAATAAAATATTTTGTTGATGTGTTGCTTACTGTGCTAAGTGGATTTTGTTTGTGTGTTAGAGATACAAGCTATGTAGACGGTACACCTGATGATTTACAGAGAGTGTCCTGTGTGTAGTGATCTGTTTATGATGACTGTACAGTTTTTGGTTTTGTCATAGGCGGCGGCGCTGTAGTGATGTCATTATATCAGATTGCAAAAGTGTGATTGTATTGTATATTTTTGTATATTTTGTTTATTATTTTCTGTGTGGTCTGACTATTTAGATCGGTAGTTTTGCATATGTTTGAGGAGAACGATAGAAAAGTATTAATGTAGAAATTAAAATAGTGTTGTCAAGATGTTATGTCTTTTTGCTCTGTGGAGATGATGCTAGTGATCCGATGTGGGATAGTTGATTATTTTGTGTGTGAGTGGAAGCAAGTCAAGGTGAAGATAAGAAGAACGGATCTCCGACAGAAAGCGGTGTGTGATAGTGTGATAAGAGAAGTAAAAAGTTTATCAGTCCATCCGGGTTAGTTTGCCAGCAGGTCGCAGAAGGTGTTGGTATGATTGTGTATTGATATTCATATTTTTTGTTTGTTTTATTATGTAATTTTAATATTCTTAGTGTTTGTGTACCGCTGAGTTTGTGTTCGTGTTGAATAGTTTCTACTCTCTGGTGTGATCTGTAAGAAAGAAAAAGGTCTTGCAGGTAAACATAATTTGAATGAAAAGTGTGACTCTGTGTGGCCTCTCTGTGTAGTTCTGTGACACGCATGGCATAGTGTGTGAACACTGCTCATGCTGGAGATGGCAATATGTCGAGAAAGAGTGGGGACTAGAAGTGTACTCAAGCAAAGCTAACTCATGTGTGTGCACGTGCAAGGAAATGTATTACGTTGTCTGGCGTAATAATAGTCCGCGAACATCAGAAAAGTGAAAAGTGAAAGCTCTTCCGGCGCAGCTCCCGCTGTGGCAGCTCGTCACTTTGGCTATCTTTCTCTTTCCGACCCTGTCTCAATTTATTTCTAGTAGATGTGCTTTTTTATTATTAATTCTCGTAGGCAGCGCTATATTTGTGCATTGTGCACACGGGAAGCCTAGCCTTGTGGTCTTTCGCACTGGATTACATGACTTCGGCACTTTATTCGGGTGTCCTCCGCTCACAGAGCCACGAGGACCAGGTGTCCCATTGTTTAACACGGGAGCAGCTTCTCGGACTTAGAGACTCGCTTCAACGGCATCAGAGAAGCCGGTGATCCCCTTGGAGCTCCGTAAGGAGACGCAGGGGCTCCAGAGGAGGCCGAAAGAGGAAGAAGAGACCGTATTCCCACCATCATCATTGGGGAACGTACGGCGTCCATCTCAATAAGACTGAGAGCTGATGCACTGGTCCGCCATCTTAAAGCGTTACAGAACAATGTGGGACTTAGTGTTTCTCTGAGATTGGCTGTGTGGGAATATACCGACTCTGTCGGTCGCGCTGGAGGGATTTAAATGTGCGAGCGGACCGGTGCGCTGAGGGAGTGGGAGAGCAAAGGCGGGGTGTCGCGGTCTACGTGATCGAGCAGTGGTGCCATCCCGACGCACGTGCATGTGGTTCAGCGTACTGCACACAGAACTGGGCTGCTCGCTGTGAGCATGCGACCCAGGTATCACACACCGTGGTTTATGTGTCTACTTCTCCCCCGTCAGCTAGACGCAGCCGCAGCATGTGAGAGTGAGATGCACAGAACTGTGACCCAGCATCCAGGACCCGCAGGTCCCCGCTCTCTGATTCTGATCCGCGGAGACTTAAACACGCCTCCTCTTCTGCCACTCTCCAGAGATGATTCTCATCATCACTATAGAAGAGAGACCCGTGGCCCCAACTGATAGTGAGACCATCAGACTCTGGACAAGTACTGTATGTAATGTGCGAGGTACGCATACGCCTCACTCTGATCCCCACTCGTCGGGAATGACTCTTGATCAGATAGCCTGGATACACGTCTAGGAGTCCGGCGATAGTCACTGACCTAATTGGTGAGTGAAGAAAAATCCAGCGCAGAAGAGGATTGTAAAAAAAGTGAGGAGCGATGATGTGGAGAGAGATTATGAGAAGAAGATTGTTTTCAAACACTTATTGTCGCGCGAACCTGATCTGACAGCAGTGTCTCATGGTGAGGTCTCATCAGAAGAGCCAGACACATCTGCATTAGAAGACTGAGTAGGATCTGTCTTCAGAGTGGGCTAATATACTGTATCAGAAATAAGGAAGGTGAGCTAAGTGAATTTATAATTGACTAAACATCCCACCAATGGGATGACATACCTGAGAGCTTAACAGTCCAGATCCTGAGACAATCAAGAGAGAAAGGGCTTAGCATGACTCAGGGAGTAGCAGAAGTGGACAGAGAGAGAGGAATATCCATCCGAGTATCTAGATGGAAGAGATGAGAGTAGATCCAAGCAGAAATCGCGAACATGAATGGGAATAAAAGATGAGGATAGACAAATAATTCTGGATCCAAGGAATAAATGCCCGCGCGATTGTGAGGAGAGCTCCATATAGGATAGACTGATGAGACTGTTAGAGGAACAGATGTTGCAAGCGGAGAACAGCGGATGAGACCAGCACCGGGCGGATGAATTTAACAGTCCTTCAACCAGTTTGACTCTCCCCCTCTCCATCTGCCCCCCTCCCGCCCCCACCTCTTCCACACGTCCCAGCCCACAGTGGACACCGCCAGTGGACACGCTCCGGCTGCCCCGGGCCCTCCTGCCCGATCCCCAGCCCCACCCTCGGACAGTACCACCCAAGTCCCCGCCCCCCTCTCCATCTACACCGGACCAGGTGAGGAGTCAGCTCCAGCGCTGAAAGCTGAGAATCCGCTAGGTACCGGACGGGATCAGTCCCAGGCTGCGAGGACCTGTGCAGACCAGCTCTCTGTGGTCCTCAGCTACATGTACAACCTGAGCCTCAGCTGGAGAAGGTTCCTGTCTGTGGAAGACCTCCTGTGTGAATCCCGGTCCCAAAACGCACACGCAAGGAAAGGCTCACTACAGGACCAGTCGCACTGACCCTCCCACCTGATGAGACAATGGAGCGGGTCATCCTCACCATCTCCGTCCGTGGTCAGCCCCCCCCTGGACCCGATTCGATCGTCCTCACAGCCCAACCTATCGGAGACGAGTGACGCCGTCATCTACTACCTGCCTCGGACGCACTCCCACCAGGAGCCCGCGGGAGCTCTGTGCTTGTTTGCTAGTCAAGTTATCGACTATAAGTCCCTTGCAGTAACTCAATATACAATCAAGGCCGCACTTATAGAGCGCGCGGCGAAGATTGGAAGGTGAGAAGAGTTGGACAGAGTAGCCTCACTAGCTATGGAACACTCAAGACTTATCTGACATGCGAATAGTAGACACAGATATGATGACGTCGGATACGCCTCTGAGAGAGTCAGTGAAAGATGAGAAGTAGACTTGATAGCAGATAAAAGAAAAAGGGAGCCCCTTCCGGGTCACTGTCCTTCTCACCGTTTAGACTCAGTCAATCAATGTGTCTAGACATACTCAGAAGATCATCACACAATAGAACACACCAAAGGCAGTTCATCCTGCTAGAGAAGTTCTCTGACCGACTCTGCCATCGTGGGACTGTGTGAGAGACGAGGGGAAACTAGAACAGAGAAGAGATCTCGGTCGGTTATTCTCAAGAGACTTTGAGATGACGGACTTAGTGTGAGAGGCAACCGACTTGTGACTTGAAATCACTCCAGAGTAAGAATATAAGAGATAGGTGTATCTAGTAAGACATCAGGGAGAGAACAACCATCAGTGATCATCCACAGACGCTGTGAGTAATTCCTCCAGGGGGAGGACATTGAGCTGAGAGGGACAAGCTGAGTTCAAGTCCAGGGTGATTACACATATACAATAAACTGGAACTGGTCCTCATAAGTACAAGGAGTGACTTGCAGTATAAGCAGAGCCAAAGGTGACCTCTTTATCCTTCTGGTGAGAGTGCTAAGGTACATCGGAAGAGGAGGAGGCCTGTCTGATCTCAGGATACTTTTTAAGAGACTCTGTGAGTGTAGTCTGCCATGAGACTACGCGCTGTGAGCTGGGTCCCGGAGCAGCAGATCCGAGCGGGACAGAGAAACATGAGAACAACTAGATGAACCAGCTGGTCTAAGAGCTCGGGCCATGCACCAGAGTCTTGGTCTAGACTCCAGGACTAGTGAGAAGGTGTGAAGGGACAGGACGAGGGTGGCTAGCTAAAAAGCCATCAGATCATGCCAGAAGAAAACAATAACACTCCCTATACCCAGCTAGCACTGAAGAGATTGTGAGAAGGAGTTAGAGGATGCAGTACTCAGTAGTGGAAAGGCTGACATCGGATACCAATCAGATCGTGTAAGGAAAGAGGCGCTTGACCGCAAGGCTCAGTTTAAACCATACATCCGCTGTGTATCTGAGGCCATGTCCAATAATGTCAATTCTTTAGGAATGAGATCTCACTGGAGAGCAAAACATCTGTCATGACTACTAGAGTGAGACTTGAGATTTCGCCAAGAGTGACAGTCTTGATCACTTTAGTGATGTACCTAATATATTGTCACAGAGAGATAGATGTATACAATAAATGAGTACCTGCAGACTTTAACCATAGTTGTGCAAGATTTACCTCCCTTTGCACAATGTCTGAGAGTGTTATAAATCTCCATGCCCGAGATGTGACTGATGTAAATTTCTGTCCTGACTGAGTAGAGATAAGAGATAGAAGTAGTATCTTAACTTGATGTCTTATAAAAGCTAAGCGCGTAGCGAGTTTGTGGTCTTGAGATAATAGATAATAAAGCCTCTATAGAGAACAGAGATTATCTTAGAGTACTGAGTAGAGCTTATTTTGAGTTATAATGAAGATAATAAACATAGAAGAGTCACCTGATAGTACTAAAGTGAGTATAAACGCAGATGAGATCAATGATAGAATAGAGCTCTCAATTAGTATATGTGTTAAATGTGCTCGAGAACAGAGTAGAAGGTAAGAGTGAGTACTCTTCCCCCATGTAAGAATGAGAGAGAGTAGACAGAGACTTAGGTGCACTAAAAATGAGATGATGAAAAATCAAGAAAATGGAGAAGAGTGAAGTATCCACAGCTCCTTCACGGTCTTGAAGTGTACTACATCCAGAGGAGAGAGTTCGTAGTGTGACCAGAAAAAGGATATAGTGAGTTGAACTCAAGACATCTAATATGATGTACTTAATACTGAGGGGATATTGAACGGTGTCTGTGAGAGTGTAGAAGTGGAAATGTATCACCTGTAGATCTGCTTCAGTGAAGATAGAGGATGGGTAAGAGTACACGGAGATTGCAGTTCACTTGTGATGCTGGAGTAAGTGCGAATAGATCACGATATGCAGATTGTAGCATTTGAATAACTTAATAATTAAATTTTATCTTTTAAAACTTATGACGTAAGTATAGGAAAGCTTTGAAACCCTGATATGAAATAAGAAGAAAAACTGATTTGTCCTTTTCCATGACTGAAGATGCCAAAGCCAAAGCTCAATGCCTACTTGAACTAAAGACTAATCCAGATGTATGTCCCTGGCCAGACTCAGGGTCGACCTTCAAGTCCAAAAGCATCATCTGATGTGTCCAAAGCTGTCATCATTACATACATATACAACCAAAGACAACAAGCAGAGGCGGATGTCGCAGCATCAGAGAAGTAATGAAAGTAATGAAAAACCAACATCAATGTGAGGAGAAGTAGAGACTTGAAGTTGAGGACGGCAAAGAAACAGGAGCCAGTTCCTACCAGAGAGCACAACAATAAAAACAAAGTTGGAGGAAAGAGAAAGAAGGGAACTATTAAAAGGAGATGCAAAAGACAATGCAGGCCAAGCAAGATTAAAAGTTTATGCTGAAAGTATAAACTGTGAAGAAAGAAAATAATTCGCCATTACCATCAGATTTCCAATGTTACCTTCTAACCATTCTCTCCCTTCAAAGGTAGCAATCACCCGCAAGCCACCAAGCTCCTCTGTAAGCGCCTGTGACTCAGCAGCTCTCTCATCAGTTCACTTGGAGAGACCCCATGAGGAAAATGCCATTAGGACCTATAGAAATAAGCATGTTTATTCATGAGCATGTTTGGTGGCCTAGGCCGGGAGGGTTGCTGGTTGAGCACGGGCGCTTGTCGCCGTGCATAATCCCAAAAAGCGGGCTGCGTTGGATAGCAGGACGTACTGCTCTGGGCCTGGAGCATGAGTGAGAGCTTTCGCCACGGTCGCTAGCCAGGTGCGTCCGTGGTTTGTTTAGGCAGAGACGGAGGATGAGAATAAGAGCGTGCTCATATTCCGCCAACGCTGATGCGGGGAATTTTGAGCGAGCTGAGAACATGCGCGCACGCAAGAGATCTTTGAGCTTTTGCGGAAAGTGGTGCCGCCACCAGAATCTATTGCCTTATTGCTTTGCTGGGGAGGCTTACGAGGAAAGGCCGTAGGAACGTTGAGCTGCCATAACTCGTACCGCCCACAGGGCCCTGATGTCGGTGGAGCAAGCCGAAGAGGACCAACTCTCGTATCCCCGGAGAGACCTGCGGGAGCGGGACTGCCTCGGACAATCTATACTCGGACAACATTTGGATGTGAAACTAGCGGTAATCTTTTAGTTACATAATTTGTTAGCAGTGCTTTTGTATCATTTCATCAGTTATTGTTGTACGGCTTTCAAGAAGTTGTGCTAATGCTAAGGTTTGCATTCAGATTGCAATTAAAATTAGATGGCTACGTGGGATGAGAGTGTATGAGAAATGAGAAGCCTGTGAGCGAGTTGGGGACGGTGGTAAACATTCAAACTGAAAAAAAATCCTGCGGAAACGGGTATAGCTCCTTAAGACTGCTCTTATCTGACACAAGCGGAGTAATAAAAGCTGTCATTTCCATCAGCTCCGTCCGTTCCGTGTGCTCTCCAATCCAGTGGACATCTGCTCCCATCCACACACCTTTCATTTTACACTTACACTAACCCTGACCCATATAATAAAATGAAGTTCAACCACGCAAATGATCCATATTTTATTAGTGCTAGATTACTTAAAAGCACAAGCATGGAAACCTCCCATTGGTACAGACCCCTTTCAACACCCCGCTACAACAGTAATGTTCAGTAAATGTCTTCCATGTCCATTGCTCCATCGCTTCTTTACATTACCTTGAAACTGTGATAACATTTCCGAATCCTCTTCTGGGAGGAAATGCTGGATCTCAAAGATGGTTTTAAAGAGATAAAAACATAATATGAGTATACTAGTTTAAAGGTCCCATATAACGCTTTTCTTCATGTTTCACAGTCCATCCTATGCACATGTATGATAATAATTTGAGTGATACACAACACTCTTGTGAGATTATAGCCATCTCTTGTATAGAGGTGACGTCACCTCGACTTAAACAGGCTGATCCAGAGAAGAGTCTTCTCCTCTGTCCGTGAGCCCACCTCCCCCCGCTCGCACAGTGACGTAGCCAAGCTGCCAGTTGTTTATTCTCCAGTATGTCCATTTCGGACATGAGAATAAACTTTTTCCAACAATGACAATCCGTAACATCGAGAATTTATTATTGTGCATTGTTTACCCTGTTTTTACAAAAGTATTTAAAATCAATTTTCAATGCAAAGCAAACGGACTTATACGCATCATATTCGTCATCAGTGTGGTAATGGTCACAGATGTGGCCGTTTCACTGCCTCTCGAGGGTGAAGGAGACAGATCGCTCTCTAACTAAAGATTGACAGAAAGCAGAGAAAAGTCAAAAAGCGTAATATGGGCCCTTTAAAAGGAGTGTAACAGGGGTGTTGAGTGATGTAGGAGTGAAATGGAATAAAAGGGAGTGTATTTGTGCAATAGGGAGTATAATGGGAGTGCAATAGGGGGTGTAACAGGGGTGTAGTAGTGTACCAAGGGTAATAGCAGTACTTTCTCTTTTCAGTGTGACTCATCGCATTTCTTTTGGTACTACTTTTAGTAGTATTTGCAGTACTGGTTGTACTATTTTCAATCTTTTATAATGGTACTTTATGAAAATCTTTATCTTTAATGTTTATGTTTTGAATGTTTCTTTAAAATCTTTTTAGTGTTTTGTAGTGCTTGTTTTGGTTTATTGTATGCAGTCACCTATTACTGCATCCATTGTATAGTTTATAGTTTCTTTAGCCATACCTTGAAACGTATGTTTAGCCGTACCTTGAAGACGGCTGAGAATCTGTCACTGGGAACTTATGTTGGATGTAGCTCTGGATCCACAAGACTGGCTTTGCAGGCAGAAAAACACGATTTACTTACTCAATTTTAAACCCTGGTTTGTGTTCATCCATCAGTTCCCTCTCTTGTTTATTTCCTGTCTCTGCTTGTTTATTTCTTCGAATCTGTCTCAGTCCAACTTGTGCTCCCCTCCCTCTCTGTGTGTGATGTCCAAATACTTCCTCTTTGCGGAGTGCGACCCTTGAGTTGATAGTAGATCAGATTCACCGTCTGATTCAGAATTTTCAACCACTTTCAAAACTAGATACATAAACATATCAACAATACATGTTTGATTGTGAATTTACCTTGCCTTGGTATTTTGATAGAGATCTTCTCCAGTGCCATGAGGACATTGCAGATTTTTGCTAATTGTAGCCTTCGTACATGCAGTCGTTCGTTGATACAGTACTCCCTGTGAGCTCTGTCGTGGCCCAAGAAGCTTGCCAATTTGTCCATTATATTTTCTTTCAAGTTAAGCACCTTTGACATCGTGGCAACATGTTTCCTTTGGTTGATACAGGGACAAGGCTGCAGGGTTTTTGGCACCGCAATTTTGAGCAACCTGTCTTATTACATAGGATCCTCTGTAAAAATTGTCTTTGGTTTTGGGCTTTGCAAACATGTATACTGAAGCAATTCCATTGATCGGTGCATGTTTAGTTTGAGTAACTTATATGGCCCCGGTCTTCCACGTTTCCCTCTTATCTCGATCTGTTTGAAGTATTTTCGAGACCGGACAAAGCCAGCAGGACATCAACATTGGAAGAATTGGCATCTCTAAGAAATAAAGCATAGTGGGGCATTCTTTATTCTTCATCTGCTCATCTCCAATAAAAAGTATTATCTCACAAGTCCCTCCTCACTTTTCACGTCCAGATGATGGTGCATCTTAAAAAGGTCGTCCACAACAGGTAAAAGCAACGGGGCCTTCCATTAAACTTCCTCCAGATTGCAGAGAGCCTGTGAAGACACTTTTGTTCCATTTTGTGTAATACAATTTCTTGAAAAAGCAAGCATTGTTTTTCAGACCTTCATCTCCTGTGATCATTGCATCATATCCCATAATGTTTTAAGTTATGACTCAATTTAAGCTCTTTTGTCGGAGTCATGAATTCATTTTTATTTTGGCCGGCAACATTCCTCACAGCTGTTATTGCGTACTGGAAGTTGGCTGGTTCAACAAAATCTGTTAATATACCTCTCTCGTCGAGCCACTGCTGAAATGTCATCATTACAAACATTAGGGCTGCACAATATATCGAAAAAATATCGTTATCGTGATATTGGTGCGTGCGATATGCATATCGAAAAGTTGCGCGATAATTTCTAATAATTTTAATGTCTAAATCATGCATTTTCTCATATGCGCATCTTGACCAATCCGCTGTGACCTTACATGGGTGTTTAGCAGCCGTCTTTAGTAGCCGCCTCTCTATTGGCCAGAAGGAGCACAAGCGCGGGGGAGGGCGTACAGTCAGAATAACAAGCATGGCGGGTGAGGAAGATAATGAGAACGAAAGCTGGGAGCAACTTATTCCAAAAAGACATTCTACCTCAAGAATATGGGACTACTTTGGTTTTACGGTACAGGACGAAACACAAAAGCAAGTTATTTGCAAGTCATGCAGAAAAAGAGTGGCTACGTCGAGGGGAAACACGACCAATCTCCACAGCCACCTTCAACACAACCACAAGGAACTATATGCTGCATATAAAACGCCACAGCCAACTACGGTTAAGTCAGTGAAAAGAAAGGCAAACTCGTTGGTCACCATTACTGAAAGTTTCGCCACTGTCACTCCTTATGAGAAAACATCGAAGAGACACAAAGCATTAACTGCAGCCATCACACGATACATAGCGAAATGCACACTCTCCGTGAATGAGGTGTGTAAAGAGGGCTTTATAGAAATGGTAAAGGAGTTCGACAAAAGATATAAAGTGCCATCCCGGACCTATTTCTCCCAAGTCGCAATTCCGGAGATGTACGAATCATGTGTAAAGTCTGTAAAGGAAGAACTCAGTGAAGTGGACTTTTACGCTAGCACCACGGACTTGTGGTCCAGTCGAACCACTGAGCCATACATGAGCTTTACTGTTCACTTTTTGACGTGCAAATTTGAACTGAAAACGCGTTGCCTGGAAGTCGCTTACTTCCCCAACTCACACACCGGTGACAACATTGCTGCTGCCCTGCGGGATGTTTTGATCAACTGGAACTTACCAGAAGACAAACAAGTGTCAATAACAACAGACAACGGCGCCAATGTGGTGAAGGCTGCTGAGGTTAACAACTGGGTCAGACTTCAGTGCTTTGGCCATCGCTTGCATCTGGCAATTGGTGAGTGTTTATGATAATAAATATTTACATTTGACATGTCAAGGGCCTATACCTGATTTAATACATTAATCACCATTTCTTTTAGTTATTTTATCATTATAGTATTAATAATAATAATAATAATGGTCCATCTCTAACATTTAACATACTCTGGACAGGGATGAATTTAAAAACACGTTTCCCTTTTTTAAGAGTGCAAAACTGTAATGGTACGGTCTAAAATCAGAACCAGAAGTAATTAGTTGCTTACAACACATAATTTACTACTAGCAGCTTCAAAAATCTTGTATAGGGCCTTAAATGTTTCATTAAGTTATTTGTGTATTTATTTTATGCATTTAGACATTAAACTTTTCTTTTTTTTGTCTTTTGTTTCAGAGAATGCAGTCAAAGGTGACGATCGTATTACAAGAGCTGTTGGACTTTGCAAGAAGTTGGTGGGGCACTTCTCCCATAGTTGGAGGGAGAAGACTGCCCTAAAAAAAGCACAAAGGGAGCACAACCTCCCAGAACATGCATTGATAACAGAATGCCCCACAAGGTGGGGGTCCAGACAACAGATGATTCAAAGAGTTCTTGAGCAGCAGAGAGCCCTGAGTGACGTCCTTTCAGCAGATAGGAAGTCCAGACATTTGGTTCCGACTTGGCAGGATGTGGATGTTCTGGAATCCATAAATCAGGCATTGCAGCCTCTACAAGAGTTCACAGATGCCCTTTCAAGTGACTGCTACGTTAGTGTTTCATATGTGAAACCAGTACTTCATGTGTTCAACACCTGCGTTCTTGCTGCAAAAGAACAAGAAAGTGATTTGACAAAATCAATTAAGAAGAAGATCTTGGACTACTTGAACTCCAAGTATGACGACCCAGCCACTCAAGAACTTCTGGATATGGCCTGCTTCATGGATCCTCGGTTTAAAGCAGGCTACGTCAGTGGTGACAAGTTGCATGAAATCAAATCCTGAGTGATTTCAGAAATTGAAGCAACATTCTCAAAGGTAAATGGTGTCAACACAGTAAAATTTTCAAACTTAAGATTTTAAACTTATTTTCAATCTAATTTCAAATTGTATGTTTAAGGAGGAAAGCCATGACGCACAACAAGACAGAATGGATCCACCAGAAGACAAACAGAAGACGTCCAAAAGATCCCTAGGCAGCTTTTTCAAGTGTGCCCTGGCCCCAAGATCTACTACAATATCATCACATTTGGTAGATGGGGAACTCAACAGCTACCTTGTGTCTCCCACCATCGACAGCGAAGATGACCCTCTGTCTTGGTGGAATGTTCATCAGGTCAATTTCCCGCATTTGAGTAAATTGGCCAGAAAATATCTCTGTATTCCAGCAAGTAGCTCACCTTCAGAGAGACTTTTCAGTACATCAGGTAATGTTGTTACATGCCAACGCACTTGCTTAAAACCTGCCAATGTCAGCATGTTGGTATTTTTGGCCAAAAACTTGTAGTTTACTTCTGTACTTTCTTTTGTTGAAATAATTTGCACTCAGTGAAGGCCTGGACACTTTGTTTTATTTTATTATGTATGAAAAACATGGACAGCATGTCTATTGGCACATAACTATATAATTTACTGAATGTAAGTTTACTTTACATATTTTGATATTTCAGGTACAAACGATAAGGGAATGTTCAGTGTTTTAAGATAAGATGTGCTTTTGTTTTGTTGTAAAGCTCTTGTTTCAATACCTTTGCCAATTGCACTTTAAGTTTAAAGATTTTATTTTTCTAGGTACAAAAACAGAATGTTGTTTTGGTGAAGCTTTTTCTTCAAAATGATTGCCAATTTGCATGAAAAATACATACTTACACAATGTGTTATAATGCAAATAAATACAATCTTTGAAATTGAGTTATTCTTTTATCTGTAGAATGATGCAATATGCAACTTTAGGCAAGACTTGTGATCTTAATTGCAATGTTGGATTTTTAAAACCGTAGTACCTCTAACAATTCCTGCAGATAGCCTTTTTTAGGTGACAGAATAATATCGCAATAATATCGTTATCGAAGTTCTAGACACCCATATCGCATATCGCACTAATTTCCAATATCGTGCAGCCCTAACAAACATCCTGTAAAATGTTCCATAATAGTTCATTCACATGCTCCCATAAAAAATATATACGAGCGAGACCGTGTTGAATCAGTGGAAATCATAGCGGAGCGAGTGCAGTGTTGTACACACAAACTTTAGACACTTTGCACAGAGTGATGGGTGGGAACAGTGTTTCCCAGAGTCAGGGCGGTCATTGGGAAGTTGCAAATAAAAAGACTGGTGGTCGCGTCGCTGCATCATTTTTCGGGGGTGGGGCGGCGTCATGTAAGATTTTATGTATTAGATGGATGTTAGAGTATCTCATTAGATTATCAAAGCTCAATATTTCAAATTTGTCAAGTGCGTGGCAGTGGTGGTAACGGTTTTTTTTATCAAGGATTTTCAAGGCCTGATTAAATAATCGAAGGGGATTAAGAACCGTTTGTTTGGCTTGGGACCACGAGGACACAGTATAAAACATGGGATATGATCATTGCGTCAAAATTTGATTTAGCTGCTTCCACTGATAGTGAGCTCCTGATGTGCTGGGCCGTTTCCACGGGCCCGACTCTACTCGACTCAACTTGACTCTGCCCGGCGTGCAGGTGTTTCTACCGGCTCGCTTTAGCCGCTACCCGGTACTTTTTTATTAACATCTTGGCCCTGGTTCTTGCCGGGCCTAGCAGATACCAAAACAATCTGACGTTGGCGAAAATCAATTCTGATTGGCCAGGGGCGTTGTCAATAGGCCTGTCACGATTACAAATTTTGCTGGACGATTAATTGTCTCAGAATTTATTGCGATAGGCGATAGTATTGTTGTTCTGAGGTCATTTTAATCGAATACAGTGATAGTGATGCAGGTACACCTTTTCAAAGAGAAATACACTTTTATTTATAAAGACCACCGCCGGAAGTGGCGGAAGTAAGAAGCCGCTAGCTTGATGCTAAGCTAGCGGCTTTTTGTGTAAAGTTCTTGCCAATAATGCAGCTCTGCAGCGTCTCTTTGTCCTGAGACCTTCCAGAGACTTTCTATAACAGCAGTATGTGTTCACGGAGGTGCGTCATAAGTTTATTTTATTATTAAACGGTACTTTCGCGAACACGCTAGCTAGCTAGTTAGCTAACTGCTCATCTGCGCTAGTTTAGTCACTACAAGAGCCTGAATGAGAACAACTACTGTGTCCCCCGTTGTCAATCCTGGTTAAGTCCTGGTTTAGGTCCTGGTTTGGCTGTATTTTGTATTTTTGAGTTATTTCAGTCTGCTCGCGTCCCGCGTGACCACTTTGCGGCTCTCTGACTCGAGAGGGAAAGTGAGAGAGAGACGGGAAAACTAACAAGCATGCAAATGGAATTCATCGCGGCCAGGAAAACTATCGAGCTAATTTTAATTATCATGCGATTAATTGATTTATTGAATATCGCGACAGGCCTAGCTGTCAATCACGCTTCAGCGGTTGAGTCAGCTCTAGCGAAAGACTAACGACAAGTTGCCCCAAGTTTCCAGCCTGACAATTATAATAATTAGCGATTAAGTAAAGGGTCATGCATGGATGGTTGATCTATGTATATCTTTTTAGATTAATTTTAGATCAAACTTTAAGGTTCATATGCGACCATCAGTGGTTATTCATATGCAACGTTGTTAACTTTCAGTCACATATCTATAAAAGATTTTTTAAAGAACACATTCTGATGAAGAAAATATTGATAAGACAGAAATTAAATTATACAAATCCAAAGAAAAGTAATTAGAGGTGACAAGTATATTTTGTAAGAATGTTTACTTACAGACCTGTAAGCAGCTGCAGTACATCCAAAATGCAGCAGCTAGAGTCCTGACAGGAACCAGGAAGTATGACCATATTAGTCCGGCCCTCAGGTCTCTGCACTGGCTTCCTGTGGCTCAAAGAATAGATTTTAAAACGGCTCTGCTTGTGTACAAGTCTCTCCATGGCCTTGCACCAGAATACATTAGTGACATGTTGGTGTCATATGAACCGGCCCGGACTCTGAGGAGCACAGGGACTGGCCTCCTGCTGGTGCCCAGAGTGAGAACCAAACATGGGGAGGCTGCGTTTCAGATCCATGCAGCTAAGATCTGGAACAATCTCCCTGAAAATGTGAGGGAGGCGTCTACTCTGTCAATGTTCAAATCCAGGTTAAAGACTGTTCTGTTTGCCTGTGCATACAACTGAAGGATTTTATCTCCATTTTTAATGCACTGCTGTCATTTATTTATTTTTTTAAATTTCTTGTGTAATTCTGAAAGTTTTAATGGTTTTATTCTTTTGTGTGATTTTAATGTTTTAATTGTGTTTTAATCTTTTGTGTGATTTTAATGTTTTAATTGTGATTCTGGTGTTTGTTTTATGTGATGATTTGTGATGTGGACTGTGAAGCGCTTTGTGTTGCCATGTGTATGAAAGGCGCTCTACAAATAAACTTTGATTGATTGATTGATTGATACTTCTGTCTGAAAAAGCTGATAGAAAGATGTGACAGAGGCCTTTTTGCATTAAACTTGTGATACAAGCAACTGTTTGAAAGACCAAACCAAATATGAACTCATGTGCAGAATATACAAATATCAATAACAATAATAACAATATCCAGCAATATACAATATACAAATGAACATTGCAATACACATTTTTCAACTAAATTGACTATATTTGATCAGTTATGTAACAAATGTTGCATTAGGCCATCTCTGACTTCCTTGCCTCCCTCCTCTGTGTCCTGTGTCATTACCCCAGCTGGTTGAGTTGCTTCTGCAGGACCTGGTGCATCCCACTCTACCCGTTACTGCTCTCCATGAGTCTCAGAGGTTGTGTAGGGCACAACACGTCACCACCATAGATTTAACCAACTCAACATGGCAGTCATTTCTTTGATGTAGACGGCGCCACCTACCCTTGGGTCTACCGAAGGCATTCTCAACTACAACTCTGGCTCTGCTGAACCTTTCGTTGAAATTAATTTGATCTATGGTGAGCCGTCCAGTGTCGCGGTATGGTTTCAGGAGCCAATTCTGCAAAGGATAGGCAGAATCCCCTAAAACATAATAGCCTGTCGTAACCCCACCAAAAGCTGAGGGTTTGCAGGAAAAAGGTGACCCTGAGTGGGCAGTTCCCACAAGGCTGACAATCTTAAAACCCTGGCATCGTGGAGGCTCCCTGGTTGCCCAGAATTCACGTTCCAAAACAGGCCCTTGCCGTCTACTACACCCTGAAGGACTATGGAGTGCCATCCTTTGCGGTGGTGGTAGTCTGTGTGGAATTCCTTGGATGCAACGATGGGAATGTGTGAGCCATCTACAGCACCAACACAATTTGGAAGCCCCCAACGGTTTTCAAAATATTCTGCAATTGCTTTGCGGCCTTTCATGATCGGGACAACGGACAAACTAAGGAACCAGCGATGACTCAGCTGCAGCACAGAACTCCTAAAAAAAAAAAAAGTCACATTAGGGTACAACTAAGACAGTTTCATAATATTTCATAATTTCAGTTGCCTAATTTGTTTATTTAAATTGCTTAGAGTAAGCAATTGTAAGCACCTTGTTAGCCATTAGCCAGACAACATGAATTTGTTTCAGTAACGATTTTGTGAGCTACAAGATAAGATAAGATTGCTTTATTTATCTCACAGAGAAGAAATTTACATGTCACATTTGGCATGGATAGAACACTCAGATTGTGCAAAGGAGGAAATGTGCAAACATGTTACATGCAGGATATATGTACAATAAAGTGACAATAATTATGTACAACAAAAGTGACAAGTGTCAATTGGAAACAGTGTCAATAGTAGTGCAGGTTTTCACACAGTGATCATTTAAAGTGACTTATTGTACAGTCTGACAGCGGAGGGGATAAAGGCCCTGCGGTAGCGCTCCTTCCTAC